CGACCCCAGATGCGCGACCCTGCGTCGCCCGCCAGGCACACTGGGGGCGGGGACACCACGCGGGGGGCGGGCGGAGCAGCCTCAGCTCTTTCCCCTCCAAAACGAAAAACAGGGACAATCAGCCCGGGCGCAGTGGCCCACGCCTGGATCCCAGCACTCGGGAGGCTGAGGCAGGAGGATTGCAAGTGGGAGCCCAGCCTGGGCAACTGAGCAAGATCCTGCCTTGAAACAAAAAATAGAAAAGGCTGGGGGTGCAGCGCAAGGTCCGAGCAGAGCGCCCTAAACCCACTCAGTTCTCACACGCGGACCCCACAGAGGCCAACACCCAACCGCGGGCCTGTCTCCTGGAGACCCCTGAGAATCCACCACGGCCGGAGACAGGCACACACCCCTCAGACACTGGTGGGCCCCCATCCCCGTGGTGGGTCGTCTGCCCTCGATTGTTCTTGTTTCGGGTCGTGTCTGTCTTTGTGTGTCTGTGTGTGGTTCTGGAGATGGAACCCTGAGCCACATCCCCGGTCCTTTTCTGTCTTTTGCTTTGAGACAGGGTCTCGATAAATTGCCCAAGTTGGGTTCCAGTTGGAGATCCTCCTGCCTCGGCCTTGCACAGTGCTGGGATGACAGGCTTCAGCCACCACAGTGGGCTTTAGCTCCTCTCGGCTCAGGCGCTCACAGCACAGGACACAGGCAGGGCACTGAGGCTTGAGGCCAGCTGATCCCCCTGGAGAAGGCCCAGGGGACCCTTTTGCATCTGTGGGGAGACTGTGGGTCCACCCTGCCCGCAGGACGGGAGCCTGGGATGAAGCCAGAGCTGGAACGGTAGGACCCGCCAGTCCCAGGTGCAATTGTTTTTAAAATTTTTATTTTTGTTAAACCAGGCATGGTGGTGCACGCCTGTCATCCCAGCGCTGGGAGGCTGAGGCAGGAGGATCGCTGTGAGTTCAAGGATAGCCTGGGCTACATAGTGAAACCCTGTCTCAAAAAAACTAAAAGCCAAAAAAAACAAAAAAGAACAAACAAACTTTATTTTTGTTGAGCTGCACGTGGTGGTGCACACTTGCAATCCCAGCATTTGGGAAGCTGAGGCAGGAGGGTTGTTGTGAGTTGCACAGCAAGACCTTGTCTCAAAAAAAAAAAATAAATAAATAAATAAAAATATTTGCAACACTGGGGCAGGAACCCAGGGCCCTGTGCATGCTTGGCAAGTGCTCTGCCCCTGGGCTATACCCCGACTCCACTGCATGCACAACACTGGGAGGAACCCAGGGCCCTGTGCATGCTTGGCAAGTGCTCTGCCCCTGGGCTATACCCCGACTCCACTGCATGCTCTTAATTAATTCTCTCTCTCCCTTCTTTTGTTTTGTTTTGTTTGTTGTACTGGGGATTGGATCCAGGGCCTTTGCACTGAACTACACCCCCAGTCCTTTTAATTTTTTATTTATTTACTTTTTTCATTTGGAGACAGGGGCTCATTGAGTTGCTAAACTGCCCAGGCTAGGCTCACACCTGCAACCCTCCTGCCTCAGCCTCCTGCAGTGAGGAGCTGACAGGTGTGCCTGCTGTCCCGTGCTCCTCTGCTGCTGTCTCTGCATGGCATCTGGCCACAGCTGGACGTGTGGTCCCGGGAGGGCCCTGGCTGCCTGAATCTTCCCAGGTGCCCTCTCCTCTCCCCTTCTTTCGTCCCCTTCCTCCTCCTCCCAGGGCTCCTGTGTGCCAGGCCAGTGCTCCAGCCCTGAGCACCTTTGGCCACAGCGTTTCACACACTCCATGGGTTGTGCGGCGGTGCCCACCCGTGATCTCCGCATTCCAGGAAGCCGAGGCAGGTGGATCTGACTTCAAGGTCAGCCTGGGCAGCCTAGCAAGACCCCGCTTGAACAGAAAAAGTGACTGGAGGTGGCTGCGAGGCCCTGGGTTCTGACCCCAGCACTGATTAAAAAAGCAAAATTCAAGTGGGGCATGATGGCGCATGCGCATAATCCCAGCACTTGGGAGGCAGAGGCAGGAGGAGTGCCCGGAGTTTGAGGCCAGCCTCAACTGTAAAGTAAGACCCTGTCTCAAAAAAAGCAAAACTCAAGGCCCACAAAACAAACCTAAGGCTGCACTGGCTGGTGGCCCAGGGTGCGGGACCCCAGGTGTGAGCCCTGGGGGACAGCACTGAGCTCCCCACACACGGTGGAAGGGACACCATGCCCGGAGGTCCCCGTGCACCTGGCCATCACCTACCCAGGGCTCCAGAGCCACTGCAGTCTGTGATCGCTGCCCTGTGCTGGTCAGGGTCCAGGGCACCGAGGCCCCGGCAAGGTCTGCTGAGCTCCATGGCAGCTGCAGGGACAGGGATGGCCCAAGACTTCCCTGTCTTTGTTGCAGAGAGAGACCTCCCTAGGGGGCCTCGGAAATTCGTCCCCAGAGCCTGGGGCCTCCCTGCTTGGGAAATTAGCACAGCTGTCAGCGCAGGAGGCGGAAGGGGCTGCACCTGGGGGCCGGAGCGCCAGGATGCAGGGTGACTGCAGCCCCAAGATGAGGCCCCAGGCATCCTTGGTCCCATGTTCCACCCCAGAAATAGGGGAGTGCAGACGCAGGGGTTGGGGGACAAGGACAGAGGATACAGAGAAATTCAAAAAGGGAGGCTGAGGCCAGCGACGGGGAGGCAGACACTTTGGACAGGGCTGCAGGAGCACCTGTATATGCCTGGGGCACAGAGCAGCAGGTGCAAAGGCCCTGGGGTAGTAATGTGTCCCAGCAGCGAGGTAGGTCCCCCACCCCACCTTGCCGTTGATATTTTAGGACTGGAAGAGGACATCCAGTCTTTTGTGTGGTCACTGTTCGGATGATTCCAGGCCCATGCTCTGTTTCATTTACATACAGCCCGACCCAGACAGTGGAATAGAGACAGTTGCCCCCTCCTTTTTTTGGTGGTTGGTATGGGTTTGAAGCCAAGGCCTTCACACTGAGCTATATCCTCATCTGTTTTCATTTTTTTCAAAAATTTTTTGAGGCAGGGTCCCACTACATTGCTCAGGCTGGATTAGAGCTTGTATCCTCCTGCCTCAGCCTCTTAGAGTGCTGGGCTTACAGGCATGGTTAGTCAACCCTTCTTAAATCTGGAGGAAATGGGTTTAATCCCAGGGTCGCATGGCAGGAACCCCAACCCCAATCTGGTCACCTCTGCTTGAGTCTGGGGACCGGATGGGAATCACCGTGGAGTCCCGAGACCCCTGTCCCGAGCCCAAAGCTGTCAGGTAGGCACACGGCTCCCTGGACTCAGGCCCGGGAGGCCCTTTTGGGCCCCGGCCTCCCTGGGTACTCCCCAGAGAGCTCCTGGACCCCGGATGGAACCTTTACAGTCTAAATCCTCTCAGAGCAGGGACGTCTGTCTGCAGATGGGAGCCCGTGAGCCCCACATCGTCCCAACAAGGGACCCCTTGAGCGTCCACACTCATTGTGCTCGAGTTCGGTGACAAAGACTGGAGTCCCCTTCTCCTATTCCCACTTTTCCAGATGTCTGCCTGGTGGGGAACGACTTAAGTGCAGAAGTCACTCCTGAAGCGGGGCAGCCCAGGGCAGCCTCAGCTCGCTCTGTCACGAGGCGGCCCACAGCGTGAGCAGAGAGAGGAAGTCTGACCCCGTCTGCCTCCCTCCGTCCTCTCAGGCTGGGGGCTGGCCCCAAACCACCCCCTTTCTCGGGGCCCTGGGTGTCCCTCCCAGCCTCCGTCTTCCCTCTTCCTGAAAAGCAGCTGGGAGACCTCAAACCCGCCCCTAAGAGGCCCGAAATTCTGCCCGCCAGGGCCTCCTGTCCCTTTAGATCGGAGGCTTGGGCATGGGGCGGGAGGAGCCAGGCTGCCTTTCAGGGAGCACCTTGGACCTGTGGAACCAGACCTCAGACACTGTTCCTTTCAAAACTCAGGCCATCTCCCCGCAGGGCTGGGGCTGGAACCCAGGCCCTCGAGAGAATGCCCCACAAGGGCTCTACCAGTGGGCTTGGGCTGCAGCCCAAATCTCATGGTATGTGTGCGTGGGTTTCTGTTTTTTTTTTTTTGGTACTGGGGATTGAACTCAGGACCTTGTTTGCCAGGCAGATGGCAGAACCACTGAGCTAAATCCCTGTCCCTTGTGTGTGTGGTTTTTAGAGACAGGGTCTTGCTATGTAGTCCAGGCTGGCTTTAAACTCCTATGTAACCCATGGTGGCCTTGAACTTTCAATCCTCCTACCTCAGCCTCCTGAATATTCCAAATAATTTTTTTTCTTTCTTTTTCTTTTTTCTTTTTTCTTTTTCTTTTCTTTCTTTTTTTTTTTTTTTTTTTTTTTTTTTTTTTTTTTTTGATTTTGAGACAGGGTCTCACTACGTAGTTGAGACTGACCTGGAACTCACTATGTAGCCCAGGTTGGACTCGAACTCACAGCGATCCTCCTGCCTCAGCCTCCCGAGCGCTGGGATTACAGGCGTGCGCCACCACAGAATACTTGCGTTTTCTTCCCCAAATGCCAAGGGTCCACAGACCATGACCTTCCAAGTGAAGCTTTCCAGCCAGGCCAGGCAGAGGACTCAGCTATTTCTGGCTCCGGTCTGTGGCCGGGGGCAGCACGGACCTGGGTCACAACCTCTGCAGCTCCAGACCATGCCCGTGAAAGTACCGCTGCCACCGGGTCACATGCTGACAGCCCAGGGACTGTGACCTGATCGTGCGCCAGGGACCAGACGGGGACACAGGCCCGGGTAGGGTGGTCTCCTGCCATGATCCTGTCGGAAGGCATGTGTGTGCACGGGGACTCTTTCATGCCCCAGGGGTGCGCGCCCGCGAAGAGACCGGCAGGGGCTCGGGCTTCGCGGCTCCGCACACAGCCTCAGCCCAGGCTCGCAGTCACACCCCTCCCACGCACACCCTACACACGGGGGCCCTCGCAAGGTCAGAAGCACCCCTGCACCTCCACCAACCCGGCGCAGGAGAGTCCAGGGGACCCCACGCGAGTCCCGATCCCGACCCACGCGACACGCACTTGCTGCCCGGGACTCGTGCGAGGACCACGGCCACCTCCGCTCTGAGCTCCGGAGCCGGTGGCCGCAGGTGTCTTCCAGGCGGCGGCCACGCCCTCGAGAGCTGGTGGGGCAGCGGGGGCTCATTTGCATAGAGGGCGGGGCCCAGGAGCTGCGGTAGGCGGGCAGGGGCGTGGCCCCACACCGGGATTCGGAGGTGGAAGGATGCCGAGATGCGGGTAGGAGGCAGGAGGTCCGAGGAGGCTGCGAGGCTCCAAGGCGAGCGCACCTGCGAGGCCCTGGTTCCCTCCCAGCACCGCAAAACAAAAAGCAAGGAAGGGCAGCAGAGGGGCTGCAGGAAACCAGCCCTCACTAATGCCTCCGACCGGCCTTAAATTAGACCCCGTCCCTAGTGGATCACCATGGGACTCCTGCATTCCTGAAGGAAAGGTCACTGGGCTCTCGGGCCTGTCCCTCAGGCGCCGGCCCTACCCACTCTCGCGCTCACAAAGCACAAGGGCTGCAGAAAGAGCTCCGGGGTCACCTGTGTGGCCTCTGCAGACGGTGCTGGACTCCGCTGGCCCAGGAGCTCCACAGTCCCAAGGTCATCACTGTTGGCCCCGTCCCTCCCTTCCTGTCTGCCCGCTGTGATCTCCGCTTCCAAGGTCAGCTGTGGCTGGACGTGATGGTAGACAACTGTACTCTCAGCACCCGGGAAGCTGAGGCAGGAGGATCACAATGTTGAGGCCAGCCTGGCACATAAGGGCTGATCCAGGAGAGCTAGTAGGCTGGGGCCGACCAGAATGGAGGTCAAGGGCTGTGCCAGAAGGGTCAGGGAGGGCTTCGCAGAAGATTGGGCATTTGTACGGAGGCTTTCAGGTATGAGGAGGAGTTTGTGGCTGAGAGAAGGGCTTTTCAAGAGAGGATAGTACCCGCAAAGAAAAGCACAGCGCACCCGCTGGCAGGGTGGGGGCTGGGAGTAAGATGGAGGAGATGGAGCAGAGCCAGGGGTGGGAGGGACCCCGCTAGGAGGACCAGTTGTGGTGGGTGTAGAGGGAGGCCAGTTGGGTTCCCCGGGCTGCTTGAGTCCATCCCTTCAGGAGAGAGCAAGGGGGAAGCACATGGAGGACGCCAGTGTGTGGAGGACACTGAGGCAGGCGGTGCACCGTGCAGGGCGGACTCATGCCTCCCCCGTGCCTCAGTTTACCAGTCCGTGCAGGTTGGATAATTAAGTCTGGTCACAGCTGTTTTCTTTCCTTTTTTTGGTCCTGGGGATCGAACTCGGGTCCTTGTGCTTTCGAGTCAGGAGGCAAAACCAACTGAGCTACATCCCTGGCCCACAGCTGTTTTTCTTCCTGAGGCAGGATCTCTGTGTAGTCCAGGCTGGCCTCTCAAGTCCTGGGACTACACAAGTGGGACACTACACCCAGCTACAACTTTGTCACTTGATCTTAGCCAAAAGGCCAAGAAGCGACACAACCTTCTCTTTGGATGTGAAAGTTGGGGGTTCACAACTGGCAACCCAGCGGCCCTGCCCGCTCGATGAGGCCACGCCCAGCCCAGGGCCAGGGTGGGGGCTTCTGCCGGCTACGATGCAGAAGCGGGCTGGGGAGCCTGGAGGTGGCTGGGGAGCCCGGGCCCCCCAGGGCCGCTCTGTTTACCTGTGGCCGCCCCGACAGCCTCTGATGCAACAGGCAGGCTCCGGTTACGTGAGGGCGGCAGCTGGAGCAGCTCTGGGAGCCCTGGGACGTGGTGGGAAGGGCTGCAGCTGAGCAGGGTGTCCTGCCCGGCCAGGCCTCACCTCCCCTCCTGGGCCACCCCTCAGCCCCTTCCCATCCGCCTTCTGTTGCGGCCCTCTACTCCCAGCCTTCATCTAGCCCAGTGGACTTAGGAAGTTGGGGTGCACTTCTATTGCTGTCCCCCAGCACAGGGACCCCTCTGGACTGGGCTGTGTGGATGGCGGCAGCAAGATGCACCTTCGTGGGTCTCCGGAGAAACCACAGTGGGGTGGGGGCAGAGGCTTTACGTCCCCAGAGCTTTGTTGGGGGGCAGCACAGGGCCGGGAGCAGGCCTAAAACAAAAGCCACATCTTGGACAGGGAAGAGCTCAGGTCAGAAAGCCGCCGAAGTGTCACCCCAGCCTCCGCAGGCCGACCAGGAAAGGCCACAGACCTCTTGGTCTCCTTTAGCCCAGTCTCAGACCTGAAGGGACCCACACCTCGCGCCGGGCCAGGCTCACTTGGCCTCAGCCTCAGCGGTGGGCGCGCTCCCGCTGGGATGCCCCGGGCATAAGCAGACGCGAGCTCCTGCGGGGTAATTCGGCCCCTTGGGAGCACCTCTGGCCTGAGAGGAGGAAACCAGGGTAAAGAAGGTGACAAAGGGCGAAGGGTCACAAGGAGCCACCAGCCCTGCGGACCAGGACGTTTTAGGGCCAGCGCTGTTGGCCAAGGCTTTGCCTTGTGCGTCCCCTGGCGGTGGGCAGAGGCAGAACCTCCTCTGGGGCTTAGAGCTAATTAAACTTGCAAATGACATGCAAATGAGCCAGGGCCCCCAAGAGCCCTTGGGCCCGCGGTGATGGGGTGTCTGGCAGCCGAGTCCCACTCACATCCCTTTTCTAAGGAGAGGAGGATTCCCGCAGTGGATTGAGGTCCTAGCCAGAGGTTTCAAGTGACATGGAGCTTGGGGGTGGGGCTTAGGCACCCAGATCCGCCCCCACGGGTCACCTGTTACCTCAGCTGTCTTGAGTCCTGGGCACAGGACTGGCCTGTCCCACCCAAGGGACACAGTGTGGGCGATTAACAGGACAGACGCAAGGGCAGGGGACAATAACAGTGCCTTCTGACTGGTGGGGACAAGGACAGTTTCTGTGGGCCCCACATTGGGGGAACAGTGGCTCCTCTACCCCTCCCAGCTGAGCCTGAACAGTGGAGAGGCAGCAGGTGTGGTGGGGAGGCTGAAGCAGGAGCATCCCTGTGCGTTCCAGGCCAGCTGGGGCTGCAGGGCGAGCTCAGGGTCAATGGGATCATACAGCCAGACACTGTCTCAAAACAGACGACAGAGGGCTGGGATTTAACTCAGTGGGCCGCCGCTGCCTGCCTTGCAAGTGCGAGGACCTGAGTTTGCTCCCTGGTACCAAAGACAGCAGACAAAGGACTGGTGAGGCGAGACGGCCACGCAGATTTGCTGTAGCCCACACCCCTGGGAGAGGAGGGAGAGGCTGCCCAGGTGAGGCAGACTCCAACAACTCCCACTCCCTGTGTCAAACCTGACGTCCCAGGAAGGCCCCATCTTCCCCTGGGCCCTGGGCCCTGTCCTCACCACCCAACGAAGAGGATAGCAGCCTGCCCGCTGTGTGCTGGCCTCATCACTCAGGCTTGGGATTCACAGGGCTAGGCCGACCCTGCAGGAAACAGGCCCAAAGCAGTTTTTGCCAAGAGTCATTTAGAAGGTGTGAAATGGAAGTTGAGTTTGGCGGCATCAGGTACAGCTGGATCCAGGGTCCCTCTCCAGGCTCTCAGGCGCCCTCCCTCATGTCAGCAGCCCTCACCGTTCATAAGCCCCTGTGGTTCCACACGGTAGGTTGCTCTGCAGAGCCCAGATGGAACCACAGGCCTTGGGCACATGGGGCTCTTGTTCAGCCACAGAGCCGCACCCCAACCCACTTGGTCATCATCAGCCAATCACTGTGACCCAGCAGATGGGGGGCTCAGAGGTGGCTTTGCCCACACTGCTGGGGCAGAACTGGGCCAGGGAGGAGGTACCAGTGTCCTATAGGCCCCGGGAGGAGTCCAGAGAGGGTGGGCCCTGGTCCACATCATACAGCAGGCCAGGCAGGCTGGGCTGCTCTGAGTGGGGTCCCCAGGCCAAGCTGCGCCCCCATCCTGGAGCAGTGTTCCCATCTGCATTTGGGCGAAGCTGGCCAGTGACCCTCATGAGGCCACCAGTATGGCAATCAGGACCGTGGGGCAGATGGCTGCTGGTCCTAGGGACCAGGTCCGAGTCCATGGTTGACAGGGGTGAGAGCCCAGAATACGGATCCACACAGCGACAACTGAGGCAGAGCCTCAGGCAGCAGTGGAATGGGCGGCCCACCTCGCCTGGGAGCCGAGACATCACGAAGCTGGGGCCGGCCGGGGAAGCTGGCCCTGGGTTCGAGTACCACGATCCTTGGTTTCCTCTCTGGCGGCACAGGACGGGGCTGGAGTCTTGGCGCCGGAGGCGCATGGGGATGGGGCCGGGACGGTCACTGGCTGGCGGACCCCGGACGGCAAGGGTCAGGGTAGCACATGTGGGACAGCTGGGAGCCGAGACATCACGAAGCTGGGGCCGGCCGGGGAAGCTGGCCCTGGGTTCGAGTACCACGATCCTTGGTTTCCTCTCTGGCGGCACAGGACGGGGCTGGAGTCTTGGCGCCGGAGGCGCATGGGGATGGGGCCGGGACGGTCACTGGCTGGCGGACCCCGGACGGCAAGGGTCAGGGTAGCACATGTGGGACAGCGCCCCCTCCCTGAGGCCGCCCACCAGCCCAGTGAGTAGGCTGGGCGGGGATGTGGATGGGGGTCACATCCGGGTCCCCTCCGAAGGCCACTCAGCCTTCAGAACATCCACGAAAATGGTACTTGGGAGCCGGGGATGTGCTCCCAAGCGATCAAATTACCCCTCAGGAGTTCCACTCTGCTCCCACACCATGGCCCACAGACCTCCTACAACCCCAGTGGGGAGGCTGAGGCAGGAGGATCACTTCGAGGCCAGTCTGGGCCATACAGTGTCTTAAGGAAAGGGGTGCAGGGCCCATGTAGGGAGTCCTGGTGGTGGGAACAGGGTGCTGGGAAGTACCCTGGAAACCAGGCGCTGCTTTTGAATGAACACTGATAGCCGCTGGGAACACCCAGGACAAAACAGCTACCGTTGCCGGGCTCCCCGCTGCCTGGGAGAGGAGGCCACACACTCACTGAAGCTGTAGCTAAACTGGCTTGGACGAGTCCAGCGTCTCGCACTGAGCTGCCACACAGGTGTCCTTCCTAGTGCTGGTGGGGACGTGGGCTGCGTACTGTGGGAGCCGCCACTTTCCGGGGGAAGATTCCAACTACAACACACACCTGTGCCCACATGTGCGTTTATTAAATTATAATGAGGGTGGCTGCGGGGGGCGCAGGCCTGTAATCCCAGCACTTAGGAGGCCGAAGCAGGAGGAGCGCCAGGAGTTCAAAACCAGCCTGGGCCACATATCAACATTTTGTCTCAAAAAAAAAGGGCTGGGGATTTAGCTCAGTGGCCCCGTGCCTGCCATGCAAGCGTAAGGTCCTGAGTTCAATCGCTGGTACCACAAAAATAAATAAATAAATAAAATATTAAAGAGAACGGGATTTAGCTCGGTGGTGCAACAACTGCCTGGCAAGTGCAAGGTCCTGAATTCGATTCCCGGTACCAAGAAAGAAAAAGGGTTATAATGAGGACAGAAAGAAGGGCCCCTCCTGCCCTGCCCACCACGACCCTCTACTGTGGCCTCTGCTCCTGCCACTGTCACCTCCGCCAGTCAGGCAGCCGCCTCAGGCGTCCCGTGTCCCCTGCTTCCCTGGCCGCCAGGCTGAAGCGCCCTAGGCCCCGCGTTCTGCCTGCCCCGGTCACCACTGTGACCCCAGCTCCGGACATCACCAATGCCAAAGGACAGGCGGAAGCCAGCAGCCTCGCTGTGAGGAGGAGAGGGGGTCTCCAGGGACAGGAAGAGGCAGCCCCGGCGGGCGCTACCTGTGGCCCTGCGCGGCAGCGTTCATGTGGCCCCGGATGTTGGTGGCCTGCTTGAGCAGCCCCTCCACGCTGCGGAAGTGCGCGCTGCTGTCCACCAGGTTCTTCACGGCGCTGCGGGGAGCGGTCATCAGTGCCTTAGGCCGGCCCGGGGTACAGGTTCTTCACGGCGCTGCGGGGAGCGGTCATCAGTGCCTTAGGCCGGCCCGGGGTCCCCGCGTCCGCTCTCAGGAGCCCCGGCAAGAGGGGGGGTCACCTGCGGCCTCCAGGACCGCTTCTCCCCAACCCAGGGACTCCGCGCCCAGCCGCACCCCGGCCCGCCCCACTGGTCTTCCTCTGGATTCTGGGACGGGTCGCTAAATGGCCCGGCAGCCCGCACCTGTCACCCTCCTGCCTCAGCGCCCCCGGCCCGTGAGGACTGAGGGTGCAGGCGGGCTGTCGCAGTACCTGCAGGCGTACTCCACGGTGTAGATGGCGCCCTGGCTCTGCTCCTCCCAGCGCTGCATGTCAGCCTGCGGGGAGAGTCGGGGTACGGCCGGCCCTGGTCTTCACCCCACGTCCTGGGTGGAGGGTCCTGGGGCGGGGGAGCCCCGGGCAGGCCCGGCTCACCTTGTGTTGGGCCAGCTCGGGCAGGGAGCGGCGCACGTGCTCCTGCAGCCGGTACAGCGCCACGGACGGCTCGTTGGCCAGGACGTAAACACTCTCGGTGAACTTGTCCGTCACTGGGTCCCGGGCGGCAGCAAGGGGCGGGCACAGGGGACAACTTTAGACCCCAATCCCCAACATGAGAGCCCAGCCGGGGCGGGGAGCGGGGCATCGGCGCCAGCGTCTCCGAAGCTGGCCTGGGAGGGGCACAAACTGGGAATTTGACTGTCCCCTCCCACAGCCACCCCAGGGACACCTGCGGAGACCCCTCCAGAGAACGTCCAGGTGGGGTGAAAAGCGCTTCCCTCATCACAGCAGGCTGTGTCCTCAGGGGGTCCCCGCAGGGCCAGCCCCTGCTCCTGCAGTCATGCCATGGAGGAGCAGGCGGCCGGAGCCTCCTACCTTTCCTACCCACTGCTAGCAAATCTTGCCATCACCACAGAACAGCGCCAGATATGTGTACTGACCAGTGCTGCCCAGCCAGGGCCCGGGCCAGGCCCTGCTCCTCCTGCCAGCAGCCTCATCCTTGGCAAACCATGAAGGGACACTTGGCCACCGTGCCTCCTTGCTTAAACCCTCCAAGGGAGCCAGGAGTGGAGCTGCCTGCCTGTAATCCAGCTTTGTGGGAGGCTGAGGCAGGAGGATCATGAGTTTGAGGGCAGCCTGGATAACTTAACTAGACCCTAGCTCAAAATAAAAAACAAAAAGAGATGGGGATGTAGCTCAGAAGAAAGCCCTTGGCTTTCACACCTGTGGCAGAGCACTAGAAACGGGGCTGATGTGACTGAGGAACTCAACTTTCAACTTAGTCTCATTTTAATTAATTCACATTTAACACCCATATGTGACCCATGGCTACTCTTAGTACACACAGCTCTGAACACATTGCTATCCCTGGGCCTTTGCGCCTGCTCTTTACCCTTCCAAGAGATCCTTTCCCCACTGCCACTTCTTCATTGATGTCTGGGCTCAAATGTCACCTCCTGACCAAGGTTCTCCCTGCTCCTGGCTTAACCAGATGCTCCCTCACTGCCCTCAGGACCTCAGTCCCCTCACACAGTTCTCTTGGACCTATTACAATTTATCAGGTTTCAAGTTCACAGGAAAAACAAAGCTTGGATTCACGAGGGTTCTCTGAGACTGTTTCTTCATCTGTAAAAATGAAATTATAGGGCTGGGGATTTAACTCAGAGGCACCACTGCCTGCCTCACAAGCACAGGGTCCTAAGTTTGATCCCAGGTACAAAAAAAGAAAAAGAAAGAAAGAAAGAAAGAAAAAAAATACAGCCAGACTGGGTGGTATACACCTGTAATTCCAGAACTCGGGGATACTAAGGCAGGACCGCAAATTCCAGCACTGCTGGGGCAACTGAGCAAGCCCGTCTGAATAAAAATGGGATGTAGCTCAATGCCAAGAGTTCAAGCCCACTACCACCAAAAAAAGCAAAACACATAGGAGTTTAAAACTCACAGGAAGTTGTTTTTTTTTTTTTTGGTACCAGGGATTGAACTCGGGCCCCTGTGCTTTCAAGGCAGGCACTAGAACCACTGAGCTAAATTCCTGGCCCCTAGAAAGTATTTTTTATGAGGGCAAATTAAATGTATTTGTCCTTCTCAAGGTCCTGAGTTCAATCCCTGGTACCCCTCCCCCAAAAAGAGTACCTGGTGAGGGTGGGAGTATAACTCCGGTAGAACACTTGCCTAGCACGTGTGATTCTCTGAGTTTCATCCCAAGCACTGGGAAAAAAAAAAAGTAGCTTGTGGCACTTTGATGAAATTATGTGGTTTATAAACATTTGATAAGCCAATAACAATACAAACGTGTGCATACCTTAAAGAATAATAAAAATCAGTGAGACAGTTTGTAATAGCGAAATCTTGGAAATAGCCCAAATGCCCATAACTGATGAATGGATAAAGATGTGTTTTTTAAAAATCCAATGGAGTACTACTCTGCCCTAAAAAGGATGAACTTCAGATATTTCTAGCTCAATGGATGCACCTTGAGACCATACACTTAAGTGAAATAAATTACGCACACATGTTTAAACAATGCACTGTTTCTCTGGTGTGAGAAACCGGAAACGGAAATGAGGACAAAAATGTGTAATAGACATTGGGAAATGGGAAGACCATGTTCAAATGGGAAGGGGCACCAGAGATGGAGGGAGAAAGGAAAAGACGGACAAAAAAAGTGAACATAGACCGAAAAAATGGAAACAAAGCTTTTGTATGCAGGGAGGGGAGGGGGCTTGAGGGGGGAATGGGAAAAAAGAGATGGGAGGAGCCATGTACAGGTGCAAATTCCCTAAGATGAGTGGTATCATTATGTATGCCGAAAATGTAACAGTAAACGTTTTATTTAAAAAAAAAATCAGTCAGGGGGCTGGGGACTTAGCTCAGTGGTTCCGATGCCTGCCTCGGCCTCGCAAGCACAAGGACCCGAGTTTGACCCCCGGTACCAAGAAAAAGAAAAAGAAAGAAAGAAAAAAATGACCCCAAATCAGCCAGGTGTGATGGTGAAACCCTGTAGTCCTAACACTTGGGAGTCTGAGGCAGGAGGACTGCCACAGGTTCAAGGCCGGCCTGGACTACATAGTGAGACCCTATCTCAAAAAGCTAAAAGTAAATAAATAAGTAAAAATAAGGACGCAGGGTGATTACCATGCCCCAGGCGATCTTCCAATGCTTTCCAAACGTCACATCAGTAAATGCCCATAACTAAGAAAGGATGAAAAAGAGGTGGTGTATACACACACTGGAGTACTGCCCGGCCATAAAGGATAAACTGCAGTTATTTTTAGGAAAGTGGATGCACCTTGGATCCATAATGTTAAATGAAATTACTCAGAGACAGGAGCTTAAACACCGCATAATTTGTCTTATACGAGAAACCCAAAGTACAAATAATTTAGAAAACAAAATAAAGACAACAGCAAACAGGGAGACATATCTTTTGAAAGTGGGAAAGGGACCAGGAGCCGGGGAATAAGGGGACGTACGACGTCCACGCGCCAACCCCACCCGGGGAACGCGATCACCACGCGCACGCGCACTAATAAAAACAGAAAGGTTCTCGACAGTCTCCCGGAAATGCCATCCTCTCCACTTTACAGACGACAAACCGAAGCTCGGAGGCGCGAAGGGTTTCAAAACTACTTGGCGCCGGGCTAGGACTCCACGATTGCCCCCGCACGCTCCCTCCCGCCCCCGCCATCCCGCCTGGCCCGCCCCACCTTTCTTCCCCTTGAGCTGCATCTCGGGTTCCTCCATGGCGACGGCGGCCGGGAACCCGAAGGGAACCGGAAGTCTCTAGACTGGGCCCGGGGCCTAAGCCTTCCCTGCGGAAACCCGACCCCGCACAGCTCCAGTTCCGGAGCCAGTCGGCCTGTCTTCCCCCTTCCTCCAACCTCCGGGACAGAGGAGCTAGAAGTGAAAGAGCGTGGGAAGGGGGTAAATCGGGAAGAGGGGCTGTGAGGAGCAGGCAGAGACCCCTGAAGACCCAGGAGAGGCCTAGGCAGGGGAAGGGCAGGGGCTCGCTCTCTTCCCCTCCCTCTTTTCCCAGGGCAGACAAGTTGAAGGAAACTCCATCACTGCCCACTTTGGGCCATATAAACACCCTCTTTTGCCTCGCTGCTGCCAGTGAGTTCCTGCACTTGCTCATAAGGTTGCAGGACCACACAAGGGGCAAAACCGTGGGACGGGGCGTCACACCTACATTGTACCTTTAAATTCCAGACCCCCTCTCCTACTTTCCTCCGCCCTCCGTCTAGGGAAAGCTCCGCCCGCCCACCCATAATCTAAGCCGATTGGCTCCATCTGGAAAAACCTGTGGGCGGAGCTGGGGTTGAGGGGGCACCGACGCGAAGGGGCCCCCCCCACTGCTCTCGGAGGTCCCACTGCTCTCCGAGGTCCCCCTCCCCACTACCCCTCCGGTCCCGGGCCGAGAGGAAGTAACGCGCAGGCGCAACGACGCTAATTAGCTCCCAGCGGAAGCCCCTCCCCTCCCCCATGTTTTAAAGGGCCAGAAGCATCTGCCGCTGCTTGAGTCCTTTCCTACTTTGGGGGGGCGGGGTGCGCAGGCGCAGTGGGGGAGCGCTGGGGCGCGGGGGGCGGTTGCGTATCAAGTTGCTCTGGGTCCCTGCAGATGAAGCCGGAGTGGTGGGGGTCGAGTTTGTAGCCTGATCCCCGCTATATCCATCGAAGGAGAAAAGTTTGTGAATTGCGCCCCCAACTTTTGGGGGTCCCGGGCTTGCAGCGCGGGGTGACGGAAGAGGCTCGTGGGAGGTGAGTGGACCTCCTAGATCGTTTTGGGAGGCTCGGGTGGGATTGGAACCAATCTCATCTTTTGTTGCGATCTCACTCTTTTGGGGGGACCCTCCACCAAACAACCACAGGAAACATTTACTAAAGCGCTGCGCCCGTCAGAACCCCTGCCGTGCTGTTGCGACGCGATTTCTTTTAGGCTTCGTTTCCTCGTTTTGTTGAGGACACTGAGGTTGGGGGGTGTGTGGTTAAGTCAGAAGCCCAAATTCGCAGTCTGTGGAAAGATTCGAACTCAGCTACTCTCCAGGCTGAGGTTCAAGGCTTTCCGTGTTGCAGGTGCCTCGATGGTCGGTGGGAACAGAGGCCTGATTTTACTTGCCCAGCCCCGGCCATTGAACCGAGCCTCAGTTTACCCACCCTCGATGTGCAGGGCTAGGGACGTGGCTGGTGACTGCTGAATAAGAACGGCTAGGAATCATCTGTGCCCGCCGCTTCTGCAGCCCCCCATGGAGCCCACCCGGCCTGCGGAGGACCTGCTCCCACCCCAGCCGCCCTCTGCCCCAGAACTCAGGGACCCGGAAGACCCTGGTGGTGAGGCCCGGGATAGCTCGGACACCGTGGTCCTCAGTCTCTTCCCCTGTACGCCCCAACCTGGGAACCCTGAGGCGGATGCCAGTGCCTCCTCCCTACAGGGTAAGATCCTCTGCGACTTGGGACGTCCAGCCCCATGACCCCTCTGTCTTCTGGCCCTGACTTATGACATGTCTTTCCTCTCTACCTGCAGGGACCGTTTGTGTTTTATAATTCTGTATTTTGTTTGTCTGTTTGTTTGTTTGAGACGGGGTCTCACTGTGTAGTTGAGACTGACCTGGAACTCACTATGTAGCCCAGGCTGGTCTCGGAACTCACAGCGATCCTCCAGCCTCAGCCTCCCAAGTGCTGGGATTACAGGCGTGCACCATCACGCCCGGCTTCCAGGACATTTCTGTCACCCTAGTAGGAAACCCTGACAGCCCACTAGCCCCTGACAAGCACTTATCTGCTCCCTGTCTCTGTGGGCTTTGTGTCCCGATTGCTGTGTCTCAGTGGAATTGTACATCATGGGCCGTTAGTCTCTGAATTCTTATTCAGCATCTTGTGTTCCAGGTTCCTGCACACTGTAGCATGTGTCAGTGTCTCGTTCCTTTTTTGTGGCTGAGTAATACTCCACCGTGTAGGTGGACCACATTGGAGATTAGTTCCGCAGGGAAAAGCCGGCACTGTGGGGCAGGCTGGGTACCTGGGGGAAGGGGGCATCAGCAACAGCCCGGCCCTGTTCTGGGGAGGCAGGGTGTGTCCTCATCCGGTTCCTTCTACATCCTGGAAGCCAGGGAGGTCACGGTACTTCCTGCCGGAAACTCTTAGGAGCCTGGCAGGGCAGTGCATAGCTGGAACCCCAGCTGCTGGATATGCTGAGGCAGGAGAATCACACATTTGAGGCAACTTAACAATGTTAGCATCCTAACAAGACCCTGTTTTAAATCAAAAACCCTGGGCACCGTTGCATACTCTGGTAACCACAGCTACCCAGGAGGCTGAGACGGGAGGATTGCAAGTTGGAGGCCAACATGGGCAATTTAGTGTGACCCTGTCTCCAAATTTAAAAACTATGTAATCCGAGCACTCTGAGGGGCTGCGGCAGGAACATTGCAAGTTCAAACCCAGCCTGGGCAATTTAGCAAGACCCTGTCTCAAAAAACAATAAAACAAAAAAACATAACGCAGGTGTGGGGGCGCACACTTGTGATCCCAGAACTTCAGGGCCTTAAGCATGAGGATTTCCATGAGTTCGAGGCCAGCTGGACTACTGTCTCCAAACAACAAAAACAGATCGTGTTGCCATATGGAGAAATGAGGGTTTCTCTGACCTCCCATATGCAGTTAGGCTCACCGCAGACACTGTCCCTGCCCTTCCCTGTCTGGAATGTTTTTCCGTCTACTTCCCAGTGCCTCCTCAGTGTGACAGAAGCTGAGTTCCTGGCCCTTCAGAGCCACCCTCTCTGATCACCTTACTTCAGTTGTCCTTTCTACGCCTCATTTCTTTACAAGCTGTATTTCGCCTTGAGGCTTTCTTCTTCCTTTTTTTTTTTTTTTTTTTTTTTTTTTTTTTTGTACAGGGATTGAACTCAGGACCTTGTGCTCGTGAGGCAGGTGGCGAAACCACTGAGCTAAATCCCCGGCCCTTCTTTTTATTCTGTGCTGCTAGGGATTGACCCCTTCACACTCAGCCCTTTTTTCAATTTTATTTTGAGACAGGGTCTTGCTGAGTCACCAAGTTGCCCAGGCTGGGCTCAAACTTGCCATCTTCCTGCCTCAGCCTCCCAGAGTGCTGGGATGGCAGGCTTGGCTATGGTGCCCCCAGCTCTGGAGCCTGATTCAAATTCCCCGTGTGACGCGGCCACATGCGTGGGCTCCTGGCATGCAGAGACTGCCTGGCCTCTAGGTACAGGAAGCAAAGATGAGCAGGAAGCCCCATGACACAGCCCCAGGGGAAACTGAGTCCTCGCCCGCTTTGCAGGCAGCTCCCTGAAGCACTCCACCACCCTCACCAACCGGCAGCGGGGGAACGAGGTCTCAGCCCTGCCCGCCACCCTGGACTGTGAGTAACGTGGCAGGAGGGCCCGAGAGGAGCAGTTTGGAACAGGGTACACTGAGGCACGGGGAAGCAGTGGGATGGTCCAGACCCTGTCCCTCTGTCCTCAGCGCTGTCCATCCACCAGCTTGCAGCCCAGGGGGAGCTGAGCCAGCTGAAGGAGCACCTGCGGAAAGGTGTGTGCCGCGGGCCCCGGGGCGCCCGTGCCCGCACGTGGGTGCGAGCTGCTCACGTTTGCAGACACCCACCTGTGCCCCCACCTGACCCCAGGCCCTCCCCAGTCCCCGCTCCAGTGACCCTGGGGACAGCGGGCAGGGCTGCAGCCCAGCGATGCCTCCCACCCGCCAGGTGACAACCTCGTCAACAAAGCTGATGAGCGGGGCTTCACTCCGCTCATCTGGGCCTCGGCCTTTGGTGAGATCGAGACAGTCCGCTTCCTCCTGGACTGGGTACGTCCGCTGGGGGACCTCAGGGAGTGGAGGGCGGGGGGCTGCTCTGCCAGAGACCTCCAGGATCCCGGGGGGCCCCATCACCACCCACTCTGCCCCCAGGGTGCTGACCCCCACATCCTGGCCAAGGAGCGGGAGAGTGCCCTGTCTCTGGCCAGCATGGGTGGCTACACGGACATCGTGGGGCTGCTGCTTGAACGCGATGTGGACATCAACATCTACGACTGGGTGAGGTCTCATCCACCCCGGACCCCTTGTAGCCTCCAGCCCTCCACTCCTGCCCTCAGACCTTTCTGGGGCACCTGCTTCGGGTGCTGGGAGAACCAAGGCAGACCTGTCCTCCTTACACCTGATAGAGTTTCCAGTCTGGAGGAGACCAAATCATAAATAGGCAGCCGAGAAGTAGTGAATAGTGCTGTGATGGCAGGCACAAGAGCAGCTGTGAGAGCCCAGAGGCAGCCAAGGGATGCCAGGGAGGGCTTCCTGGAGTGTGAGGCATCTGTGCAGAGACATAGAAGACAGATGGGCCAGACGGCGAGCAGAGAGAGGAGTCCCACACAACTGAAAGCCAGAGGATGAGGCACCAAGAGAAGCGGAAAGTGAGGTGTTTTCTCCTGCCCTCGCCCCACAGAACGGAGGGACGCCACTGCTGTACGCCGTGCGTGGGAACCACGTGAAGTGTGTGGAGGCCTTGCTGGGTGAGTAGGGTCCCCAGGATCTCCAGCTCGCCCCAGAGGAGCCCTGAGTTCGAGGCCTGGGCAGTTGTCACCTACTTTCCTTGGGGTTTGGGAGTGATCAGGCTCGTGTCCAGGGTCCAGCGGGCCGTGGGAAAGCTGCACTTGCATACGAGGGGTCCCCTGGCCCTACTGAGCACCCCAGCCCCACCCCCAGTGCCTGCTCTGCCTTGCAGCCCGAGGTGCAGATCTCACCACGGAGGCTGACTCGGGCTACACCCCGATGGACCTCGCCGTGGCCCTGGGATACCGGAAAGGTGGGCAGCCACAGGCGCCATAGGAGGGGGACCCACAGGGACACGGACTCGGGAGGGCCTCTCCTCTGTAGGGGCGGGTGGTGAGCGGTCAGCAGCACTGTGGGCCGGGCTGGGCACCTGCCATCATTCCGGCTCCGGGCGCTGTGCGAGCACAGAGTGACACAGGAACTGAGAGGCCCGTGTGGACCGAGTGCCTTAGTTCATCTCTGTTGCTACAGAAGGGGGTCTGGGGGCAGCCTAAGTTACAAAGAAAACAGGTTTATGGAGACTGGGAAGTCCAGGATAGGAAGGACCAACAGGCTTAGAAGACACAAAACAGGGGCAGCCTTGCGTTAAAATAACTGCTTTTAGCTGGGTGAGGTGGCACACACTTGTAATTCTAGCACTCAGGAGGCTGAGGCAGGAGGATCACTGCGTCAGTGCACCACACAGTGACTTCAAAGCCACACCGAAGCACACAGCAAGACCCTGTTTCCAAAAACAAAACAAAAAAGCATTTTTACACACCTCATGTGGCGAGGCTGGTGGGACGGGGTAGCTCTCCCCTGGGAGGGGTACGGATCCCCTGGTCTAGAGTGTGCTCTCACTGGACCCAGGGCTGGGGTCCCTCTGTCCTCGGCAGGACACAGCTTCCATTCCCACTCATGGCTGCCCTTTCCCTGTCCCAGTGCAACAGGTGATGGAGAACCACATCCTGAAACTCTTCCAGAGCAGCCCGGGGCCTGTGGGCCCCGAGTGAAGGCACCGGCAGGACTCAGACTCTCAGGGAACAGAAGGGCCGGCCGCACTGGGGCACCCAGACCTGGCTTCCAAGGCAGCTCCTGGACAGGCGGGGAGGGGATCCTCCCAGGGGAACCAATAAATGCTCTGTGCAGAACTCGCTTCCCGAGGGCTCCCTGGAGGTGGTGGCCACCCAGGGCTTCACTCCGCCTTCTCCCCCAGGACCCGCAGGTGGTAGATGACCACGCGGCCAAAGAAGTCGGTGGTGTCCTCAAATGTCACCTTCAGCTGGTCCACCTCAGCCGGGGGGATGGGGAAGGTGTGAGCATGGGCAGTCAAGGCAAACAGTGGCTTTGTGTCCCCACCTGCCCCAGACCCAGGCTCCAGGCCTAGCTGGATGTCGCCAGTGTGCTGGGTGACCCAGGCACACTGGTCATTATTAGTGCTATTTTTCCAGACGGAGGCCTAGAGGTCACTTGTTGAAGGACATTTTCCAGGTTCCCAGTAGGCCCAAAGTTTTTAGAGACTTAGCCCGGTGTGATGCACAACTGTCATTCCAACACTCGGGAGGCTGAGGCAGGAGGGTTGCCAACAGTTGGAGGCCAACTTGGGCTATACAGCAAGACCCTGTCTCAAACAAAACAAAAGCACAGATGGTCCACCTTGCCCCACAGCCAGAGCAGGATATCTGGAGGGAGTTGTCGTCCTTGGGGTAGAAGACTACAATCTTGCTAAGTGCCTCGCCATGCTGTGAACCTGCCACAGAAAACAGGGCCACAGTGCATCCAGGGGACTCCCTCCTGGATGCCCCAGCTCCCAGGCCTCCCCGTACCTTCCAGGCATCCCCGATGGCTGGAGAAGCCGCCCTGGAACTGGATCTGCAGCTGGGAGACACGGACTCGCTGGGGAAACTTGAGTGTCACCCACTGGCAGGGACCCTGGGGGCAGACAGGGAAACTGAGGCCCACGATCACTCTGCATCAGTCCTCCTGACCACCCACGGTGCTCAGGCAGGCTGTGGCTTCACCCACCGGATGGAGGGTCCCGGGAAGGAGCTCACCTGGTCCGAGTTCCAGCACGTCTCCTCATCTTGGTCAAACAGGTGCTTCTTCCCAAACTGCCGAATGTTGCGATTCAGCACCGAGCTCACCCTGCAGGCACGGGGGTCACGATGAGAAGAGGCTGGGAGCAGCTCCCCATCCCCAGCCACGGACCGGACCCCTACCTCACCCTCACCTGCTCTCGGTCTCCGGACAAACCAAAGAGTGGGTCATCGCGGAGCCAAGCCAAGGTGCGGTCGTTCGAGTCTGGCGCCGCCTTGAGGCCTCTTTGACCACAGCCCAGGCCTGCACGTCCCGATCTGGAACTAAGGACCCCAAATGTCACCCTTCACCTGCCCAAGTCCTTCCTACACGTGGCTCTGATCACACCCTGGCTGGAAAGGTTGGAGACAGCGGAACAGCCCAGGGCCGGGCTTGGGAGAAACACACAGAAAAAGGAAAACAGCGTCCCCGCGCGTGGGGCGCCGACCACTCCCGACCCCAGCCTCAGTTTCTCCGCGAAGAACTCTGGCCGCTGAGGACCCAGACCCGGAAGCGCGCAGACAGAACGCATGCGCAAGTGGCACAGGCCCCGCCCCGCCAGGGGCTTGGGCGAGGCTTTGTAGGCCCAGCCCCTTGGCGCCCGCTCCTTAAAGGGCCCGCGTCCTGCGATTGACGTTCTCTTGGAGCTGCGTGAAGGCAAGCAGTGCATGGCCAGGCACTGTCCCTTGGAGTTCGTCGTTATAGTGTATTGGGTTCGAAGTCCCGCAGACTTCCTGTTATTACTGGGAGATATCTGGTGAATCCCTTTCCTGACTGCTAACCCAGCCTGGGATCCTGCACCTGACTGCCTCACGGAGGCCAAAGAAGAGCTGAGGAAGAGGCCAGGATGTTGGATTGTCACAAGTCTCGGCGCGTCCAGACCTCGACCCCGGAGGCCTGGCATCCACATCTGTCTTCCCAGCAGATGCTGTTCAGGGCGTTGGGGAAGGGCCACGTGAAGTGGACTTTGAAGGGTAAACAGGACTTTGCTGGCCCTCAAAGCCATAGGTAGCCCACTAAACGCTTGTGCCCAGCCCTATGCGGGTGCATGCTGGGCTGCGAGAGCCTCAGTTCCAGCCTCATTTTAGGGGAGCCCCAATCTGGACCAGTATCACGGGGTGGCGGGGCAGGGATGTGGGGAACAGGGGCTCTGCCTGGAGGGGCCCTGAGGGGAGGACTGTGGGGTGGGGAGTGTGTTCCAGGAAGAAGGAAGGGCACAAAGGGAAATACGGGGCTTCCGTGCCACAGCCACAGCTGGCAGGAGGCACTGGGTCCTGGCTTTAGTGAAGGCCTGGGGCCAGCCGCTCGATCTGAGGGCTAGGCAGTGGCCCCTGGCATCCCCCCAGCGTTGTCATAAGCCCGCCCCGGAAGGGTAGGCTGGCAGGGAAACCGGGTTGCCAGTGGGAGAGCTGCCCCGCCAGCCACTGCCTGCCAGGACTTCCTGCCTTGGCTTCCAGCTGGTGCCGTCCAGACTGGTCCCAGGGTAGGGAGGTGGAGCCCAAAGGAGACTCCCCACCCCATCCTCACTGGAAGTTAGGAAACGGCTCCAGCTGGAGGCCAGTGCGTTAAAACCTTGTCCGGCTGAGGCCGGTGACCTTGGGCAGGTAGCCCTCTCTGAGTCTCGTTCCTGCCCTGGGACAGGAGAAAGGGTACAGTGGGTAGAGTTCCTGACATGGAACCACAGTGCCCAGCATGCTTTGGGAGCTCACCTGCTGTCTGACTCCAGCTCCTCACACCTCCTGCTGGGCTGTGCCGGTCTCCTCCCCACACCCCCCCACCATAGCGGACTCAGGGACTTGGCTCAGTCCGCCAGGGAGGGGATGCCCCATATTCCCCCCACCATGGCCCTGGCCAGGGGCCACCTCGCCCACTGGGACAAGGCCAGCTTCTTGCCACTGTCTTCCCACCTCCTCACCCTGCCGGTGCCTGGCATGAAAGAGGCCCTGTTTCTCCAGGGAATTAGCAGCTCTGGGTTCCAGCAAGGCAGCCAAGAGTAGCCCATTCATCCACTAGAGCGAGGAGGGATACTGGCTCCTTGCCTCCCTCACCCCCTGCCCCAGGGAGGGGGCAGGGGGAGCTCTAGAACATCCAAGAACAGCTCCCCTGGTTCTCTGGGGGAAACTGAGTCACCAGAAAGCCAAGCCACTTGGCCAAAGTAGGTGTGGTAGCGCACGCCTTTAATCCCAGCACTTGGGAGTCTGAGGCAGGAGGATTGATGCAAGTTCCAGGCCAGCCTCGCTACTAGTGAGACTCTGTGTAAAAAAAAAAAAAAACAACAAAAAAACCAACATTTAACTGAGCTTCCTGGAGGGACCAGCATGCCCATCTGAGTCCTCCTTTCTGTACTGAGTTCTCCCTGTTTCAGGGGAAGCATTGAGGGCACAGAGAGGGTTGGAGATTTCCTGGTCACACAGCAAGTTTGATTTTGCAGGGACAGTCTCCATGCCAGCCACTTCCTGAGGCAGCCTGGCCACTAAGGACATGAGGGCCACGAGTATCCTGGAGCAGCACAGGGCAGGGGCCTCTTTTCCTGGCCTTGGTTTGTCCCCCCCGGGGGAGGGTGTGATGAGATCAAAGGCCAGACACCGGCCACCTCAGCAGGACCATTGAGCTGTTCCTGCCAAGTCCAGGGGAGGCATCGCCCTGCCCAGGCCAGCGCAGGGGGAGGCAGGCGTGGGGCCATGCTGGAGAGGACCAAGTGGCTCGTGACTCAGGTGGCTGGGGAGAGGGGCTGGCCCAGATATTACCTGGGAGGCTGTGTCGGGTGCTGGTGACACTCGGCCTGTGGGCGTGTCCGCGGGTGTGAGCAGAGCATGGTGAGTGTGGGCTGACTGTGAAGGGTCTCTAGGTGCAGCCAGGCTCACAGCTGTGGCTCGTGTGTGCCCAGGATGGCCGTGCGTGGGCAGAGGTGGGTGTGCCCGGCTGGGTATGGCCATGGGTGGCTAAGGGCCTATCGCCGCGACTGGTGGCTGGTGGCAGTGGGTCTGACTCCGTGTGTCACCTTGGGTGGGTTCTGAGGCACTTTGGGGGACGCCGTCTGCCCTGGGACCCTGCTCCCCACGAAGGCCTCCCTCGGGCCCCTCCCCCACGCTTCCCCCTGGCCGGGCCCCAGAATGGGGGACAGAGAAGGCGCTGGGCTGGGGGTGGCTCAGTCCCAGGATGGGCCTATAAATAGCTCTTTGAGCCCCACAGATTCCCAGGCAAGGTTGCCCCATTCAAGGCCCCGGCAACGGCCGCCCTGGGCCCTGGGCCAGCCCCTCCCAGCCCAGCCTTAGCACTGGCCTGGGCCCTGGGGGGTGGGGGTGAGGAAGGGGAGCAGGAGGAGTTGGGGGGGTCACCTGCAGCTCTCCGGTCATACATCTGGGCTCCCATCTGGTCCCCACCCCTGCTGTGTGCTCTCCTCTCCCCATCCTCAGTTTACCCAGTAACCTCTGAAATAGGCATCGTTGCCATAGCAATGCACACATAAAGTTTTACTTCTTGTTCATTCTCCTAGCAGCCGGTAACTCTGGGAGCAGTAACTGTCCCCAGCATCAGTGGGGAAACAGAGGCACAGGGAGACACCATGTGGGTCTGGAGGGGGTGTGAACCCCCCGGATGCTGAGCCGCTTGCTGGGCTCCACGCATGTGCCTCACACATGCACGCTCAGCCACCGCCCCCTCCCTCAGCCGGCCTCCGCCACAGGCCGGGACGTGGCTGTCACCCGCAGGCACACACCAGTCAGGCCCCTCACTGCCGTCGAGGAGGTCCGTGTGGCATGCCTCCCCACGGTGCCACCCTCTGGCTGGGCCCTTGCTCCCCCGGGCTCCTCCTCCAGCCCCCATGCAGACCTTACCTCCCTCTTTGTTCTATTTTTTAAGACAGGGTCTCACTATGCAGCCCAGGATGGCCTTCGACTTTCCACGATCCTGCTTCAGCCTTCTGAGTGCTGAAGTACAGATGTGTGCCGCCACGGTGAGCTATTTTTCGTTTTTGTTTTTGCTTTTTTGCAGAGCTGGAATTGGAATTTGGGACCTTGTACTTGCTTGGTAAGCATTCTGTCACTGAGCCACACTCCCGGCCCTCTATTGTGTTTATTTATTTGATACTAGGAATCCAGTTCCGGACCTTGTGCTTGCGAGGCAGATGGCGGCACCATTGAGCTAAATCCTCAGCCCCCCTCTATTTTATTTTGAAAAAGGGTCTCACTGAGTCTGCCCAGGCTCAAACTTGTGATCCTCCTGCCTCAGCCTCCCAAGGAGCTGGGGTCACAAGCACATACTCCTCTCTTTGATAATCCGGGGAGACTGTCTTGCCTCTCTCACCCCATTTGTGTGTTTTTCCCCAAGAGAGTTTCCCCAGAGAAACTCGAAGAAAAAGCAGGTGGAGTGTTTTGGTGCTGGAGACAGAGCCCAGGCATCATGAATGCTGAACACACTCTGTCTCGCTGAGCTCCACCTACAGCCCCAGGTTTACCATTTTCAAGTGTGCAATTCAGGGTGGTTGGGTACACTTGCATTATTGTGCCACTGCCACCTCTGTCTGGTTCAGAACAATGCCTTCACCCCAGAAGGCATCCCGGTGCCTGTGAGCTCCCTTCCCCCAGCCCCAGCAGCCACCAATCCAGTCTCTGAACTCATGTGTTTGTCTCTGCCAGTATATGTGCCTTCAGTGATTATCCCCCTTGTGGCGTAGGTGAGACCTGTGCTCATTTTTAACGGTTGGATAATATTCCATTGTACAGAACCAGACTTTTTTTTTTAACTACCTTACTTTGAGACAGGGTCTCACTGTGTAGCCCCAGCTGCCCTGGAACTGAAGGCAATCATCTTGCCTCAGCCTCCTGAGTGCTGAGATCACTGGTGGGCATCACCACACCCAATATGGATCAATGGTTCTGCTGCCTGCCTCACCAGTGCAAGGTCCCGAGTTCGATCCCTGGTACCAAAAACAAAAACAAAAACGGGCAGAGTGAAGACTGAATGAACGAATGGATTCCACCAACTGGACGCCAGGCCAGGGCACACCCGCGCTCCGACCCTGCCGTGGGACCAAGGAACAGTTTTGCCCTTTCTTAGCTGTGGCCACAGTGGCTTCTACCTTGAGCCTTAGAGAGTCTGTCGGGCCCGGGTTGAAATCCTAGCTCTTCCCTCCTCTCCGTGTGACCTTGAAAAGCAACTTTGCCTCCACAGCCTCAGTTTCCCCACCTATAAAACGGGGGCACGCCCCCTCTTGGGAAGCGCTTGGGAATGTTTAAAGGGGTCCCTGGGGCAAAGAGAACGGGGGAAGCCGGGTGCAGGCTCC